TTCCTATTGAAATCAACTTTGTCTCACTGTTAAATAGAAATCCAACTGTTTTCAGGCTACAGTTGTACCTGTATATATTATATTACTGTTTTTCCCCCCTGAACTCATAACCACCTTGATTCCAACCATGCTTGTGACTTTTCTTTGTCTGTAATTCGAGGTATTTTCATTAATATTAATGTCTCATTCTGTGCTCGATCCTTATAAACTGCTTTATTTTCCATGAAAAAAAAAATTACTTGTTTTCTCCAGTCCGTGTTTTAAAGATATATTCCATGAAGAATGCATGAAAACAGTTTCTACTGCTGCTTTACTCATTTTTGCTGATGATTGCATGAATTGGGCTATTTGGCAAAAATAACAGTAAGCTGGAGAAAAGCAAAAGAAATTGTCAGATGGGTTTTAGTCTTATCCCAAAAAAGTAAAAAAAAAAATAAAAAATTAGACATGTATCAGGTATAGCAGGCTAACAAAAAAAAACAACTCCCCATTCCTGAGGAGCGGACACAAGGCGGACCCATTCGTCCGGTTGAATTTGCATGTTCTCTAAGCCAAAACAAAGCTTTGTTTGTGGTCAACTCTTGATCTTACTGTAGATAAACATTTTGTTAAACCTTACTGTCTCTGAACTGCGTCATTTTGTTCTGAGCCTGACAAAGATGGTGGTAATTTCAAAAGGGAAGGTCCTTTCTGAAATAGTTTTATTTTAATGTATAGTTTCAGTTTTTGGAAAGGGGATACTGTCATGCACAGAGGATAAGCCACTTTTTATGAGAAAACCTACATTAAAAAGAACTATAAGAAGATGGTCCCAGGAAGCTGATGGAGCCCTGTAAGGTTGCTTTGAGACTAAAGACTGGGATGCACTGTGTCAGCCACATGGAGAGGAATGCAATGCAATGACAGAGTGTGTGGCTGACTACCTAAAAGTCTGTGGAGCAAATACCATCCCTACCAGAGAAGTGAAATGTTTCCCAAATCATAAACCATGGTACTTGCAAGTTTCTGGGGAACCCATAAAAGAGCAGTGTTGCCAACTTAGCGCTTTAGTCGCTATATTTAGCCACTTTTCAGCCCCCTCTAGCACTTTGATTTCAAAAAAGCGCCTAGCGCCAAATCGAGTGATCTTTTTCTACTACTGGAGACTTTGGCGACAACATCTAAAAGCACTGAACTCTGCTCTCCAGAGTAGGTAGATTGGTAACCCCGCCTCCTGCTCTCCTCTATCTTGTCTGCTGTCATGATTCATGCAGCTTATATTTCATCCAAATGAAAAATGGAGAACAGATAAGCAGATCATGGCTTGTCTACAGTGAAAAGAAGGACTGGGTTATTTACTTTGGCCTTTTTGGTAACAGAGGAATGAGCAATCAGCTAAGTGAGCTTAGTGCTTGGAAAAAATCTTTCATTCCTTTAGAGACAGCATGAAAAGTCAGCTGAGTACAAAACATAGAGAGGAAAACAAGAAGAGAGGGACAAGAAGAGAGGGACACAACCTAGAACAGATAATGGATGTCTATTCTATTAACATTTCTCTTTCTGTAGAATGGGGCTGATTTATGTGTTGTCTTCTCAATGCAGAGGGCCCCCTGCCTGTCTTTGCCTAGGGCCCCAAATTTTCTAAAATCAGCCCTGCACAGAACCCCTCTCATTTTTAGCATGATTGATTGAAGATAAAACAGGACTGATGTAGAGTCAAAGATGCAATGCAAGCAAATTACTTCTGTCGCCGCAAGTTTATCCAGGATGAGCAAATCCTGCAAAATGTAATGACTACTTTCAATCAGCTGAATTTGCTTAGATGGAAAATCTTAACCAGTCTGACTGGATAATCAGATTGGACTGTGAAGAGACTTTACGGATTGTAAAGTGACTAACTCCGTTTAATAATCTTTCAAAAGCCTGATAGTCCTCTTTAGAATACAAGTTTGCTGATATACAGTATCTGACAACAAATGCATGGAGGCGATATACTTTCAAGGGGATAACAAGGTTTTGTAGGGAGAAAACATGTAGCCTATTTGTAACATACCTTGGCTATAACCTGGGGCATTTAAGTACAGATGTTCATTTCAGATTATTGTAGATTTTCCTTTTAGAACTGGTTATAAAAACATAGCAATTTAATTTTGGTATTAAAACCAATACAATTAAAATGCAAGGATTAATTGATTATCTAAAAAGGGATATGTTTGCTTTTCCACTTCAGATTTTAAAATAAGAAAAAAAGAATTAAAACAGAAACCACAAGGGTGACACAGGATGTGGTCACTTACGTGACAAGAGCGCAGATGTCACAAATAGGCGTGAGAGCAAGAGGATGTTCAGCAAGAACTGCTGCTTGTAGAAACAGTGTTTGAAAACCAAGAAGCCGCTCTGTTGAAATAGACTTTAAATCAGAAACCCCAAAAGACCCTTTTTTATTTTTCTTATTTTTAAGAGACCAGAGGTTGTCACTTATCTTACATCAGCACCAAAGTGAGAGAGGAAGGAGATGCAGAGAAATGAGGATCTTTTGGCTCAGGAGGTTTAAGCCCCTGGTTTAATCGTCTCAGGCGTCTTGTCTTTGGGCCAGACACTTACCCACCTTGCCTGTTTTTAGGGGTCAGAATGGCAGTGCTTGTATGGCAGCCTTGCCTCTGTGAATGTGCCCCAGTGCTGCTGTGGCTACAATGTGGCCTACCAGCATCGGCATCTGAATGTGTGTTACAATGGGTAAAACAATTGTAATGTGAAACACTTTGGAGTCTTTGGTTACATAAAGTGGTACATCAGCACAGGCTATTTAATCAAATGAAAATATTTCTTGCAGAAGATCTTCTTGTTTCCCACAAATCAAATATCCACTGGTTGTTTTTTGTTTGTTCATTTTTACAAATGGCTCAGAGAGCTCAGAGTGGCAGTAGGAATCTAACTCGGAACCTCAGATTCCAAGCTCTATGCCCTAACCACTATGTCATCACTCCTCTGAAAACATGCCTGGAACATGTCTATTTATATTTAATGAAAGCAGTCATTTTCCAATAATAGTTCAGATTGTCTCAATTGTGGAATGTTTTAGTGCATCTAAAAGATGGCGGTTTTGGTCGGGTAGATTAGCCCCTGTGAAAGTCAATTAGGGTTGATTGAAGTTGAAGAAACGGGGCTGCTGTTGGATCATCTGTTTACATGATGAAGGAGGGAAAAAGACAATTGTTTAATTTTAATATCCTGCTAAACATCAACTAGCGCTTAGCTGATGCTGACCCTCTGACAACTATGGTGATTTCTTCTTGCTTGGTCTGGCTTGTAAAGGTAATTTCTCAGCTCTTTGAGCTTTCTGGCTTAGTTGTTTGGTTTTTGTGTTATTTTCAGACACACAATAGGCTCATTAAATGCTGGATTAATCCTCGTTTATTTTTTCTTGAAAACTAAAAACGAAAGACAACAAAGTAAAAATAAAAAACTTGAAGTCATGTTCCGGTTCAGACAGCACCCAGCTTGGCGGCATCATTAATTATGTGGTTTCCCTCCGACATTCAGGAAAAAATAACTAAGTAGTTGTAACCAGATGATCTTAGTTTACTCAACAGGTTAATATTCAATAGTTAATTGGAACTATTCAGCTAAGAAATCTTTCTGGAAAAAAGAGACGGGGAAAAACTGGGTCATAGTATCGGACGCCTTCTCCCTCTCTCCTTTTTCTCCAGACTTTGGGGCCCTGCATTTTTCAATAAATTATATTCATGCTTTGTTTCACTGTTGACTGATGAAAAATGAGGGAGAACATGAATATTAATTATTTTACTGCTGGATTTTCTTTTTATATTTGAAAAAAGTAGCAAGAAAAATCTTTTCTTTTCTTTTGGGCTCCCCCCTCAGTCAAGGGCCCTCAAGGCTGATACTTCAAAACCAGGTCGTCTGTGTAGGTGTCGCAGTGAACAAAAAGATGTCCCCGCCCCCTCCGCAGACACTCCACTGCACCTAACTCCCCCCCACCCCCCAATATGGCGCCCCTTGCGGTGAGACTGGCTGTTAGAGTCCTCTGAAAATATTGATAATGTCAGTCAGTTGGTGGTATGCAGTGTAGAAGTGAACAGGCTGTGGATAAATGTGACATTTAGATTTTGAAGTTGAGTAAAAATTTAACCAAAATACTTCTCTGCATTTTTTTAACATTCTAGAATATTTGCTAATTTCAAACCAGTGGAAACAAGCATCAAACCTATTTGCAAAACAAAGGTTAAGCATGTTTTCTGCTGGCAACAGAAAAAATTGACAGCTGAACAAGGGAGTGGCTCAGTAATTTGCTAGAAAATGTTAGTTTCTTCCCAGGTTGAAAGTCGCACCATTCTTCCTCGTTTAGTGGATGCCAAAGCTCATACTTTTTTGAAACTGTGTTTGTAAAATCATGGTACAATAGATCCCATTTGGTTTAAACACTGTTAACTGTATGTCAGTGCTCCCTGGCAGAGCAGATGATGAAGAAGTCAGTTTGTTGCAGCTGGTGATGGTTTCACTTAAAAAGAGGATGTGTGCTGTTTAATGGACTGCACTCAAGTGGTCATTCCTGCGGGACTGGAACAGAAAACCACAAGGAGGATGTCAGCACTTCCCCCCAGCTCCTGCTGTCTGTTTGTGATTTTGCAGCAATGGTATGTTCTACATGTTAAGTCATGCTTTTGCAGCAGACTTAGGCTTCTGATAAATGCAGACTGAGGAACTTTGTATGAACAAGTTAATATGTTTATTCAATAACTTTTCTTTCAGTTTTGCCTTTGCCTTTTTCATTTGATTTTGTTTTTTTTGTTTTTTTGTTGCTGTTGGTTCTTTTGTCAGAATTAAACACCTTGTGTGCTGACTGACTAGTTAGAATTAAATCACAACAGGAAATTGAATGAATGAACAATCTAGGAGTGTTGTTTCCATGAGATTTAAGCACAGCAGAGAGAAGACACAGTCCTTCTCACATGAATTAAAGGAGGAGCCTCATAACAAACCAACAAAGGGAGGAGCACAGACTGGTCTGGTAGGATGAATCTCTGACATTCAGACCAGGAACTGCGTAATTCAGCTTTTAGGGTTTTTCTCAAGGAACATTTTGGATCCCTCCTGGAAGACACCATGGATAACTTCCAGACTGTTTTGCGTTTCTTCATGAACCAAAAAGCCACCATTGGATACAGTTTTATGGCGATCCTAACTATTGGTGGGGAGCGTATTTTCTCCATGGTTTCATTTCAGTGCCCATGTAACCATGATCAGAATTTTGCATATGGGCTGACTTTTCTCCTGGGTCCAGCTGTGGTGCTTTTGGTTTTTAGCCTGTTCTTCAGCACCAGGCTGTGGAGGCTTTACACTGGCTGCTGCCTTAACCCTATGAAGCTTTGTCCTCGTGGGAACTGCCTCGGCTGCTTCAGGGTGTTGCTGAGCATCATAACTGGTGCTTTTGTGGCTCCTATTATGTGGCTGTCTGTGGCTTTGCTCAACGGGACCTTTTATGAATGTGCCATCAGCGGTCTGGATGACAACCTGGTTGTGGATCTGTTCTGTAAAAACAAGACGATGAAGTGTCGGGAGGAGCTCGCTAGGGTGCCCTGTGACCGTTCCGAACTGTCCAAGCAAGACCGAATGGAGCTGCTGCTGATGTTCAGGGCTCAGTCACAAGTAAGATACACTAACCTACTCTTTGTGCACATTTACAGAACTTGCATTAAAACTAGTTAAATCTATGCAATGTGAAAGGGCTTTATGAAATCTGAAACAATAAACTCATAACATAATCTTTAATGTTACATCTGACAAACTTGGCAGCTCAACGGACAACAATGTTAGCCATGCAGTTCAAATACAATGCACCATTTTATCTGCATTGTGGGTTCAGTCAAATTACTTTTGAATAAAAGATTTGTGAAAATTTTTCTAGTCAGGCTGACTCAAAAGGCCTATGAGTTTATGAAAATGGAAGCCAGAAATCAGAAAATGCTTAAATACCTTTATTGCTGTTCCGAACAGAAAAGAATACAAATAGGTAACATAAACGGGAGTTGGGTGGGAGTGTATGTGAGTGTCGGGGGGTGAAACTCTAGTCTTACCTGCTCACCTCTGAACTGATACAGAACAAATAAATGCAACATCTTTCCCTAAGAGCAAAAGTTGGTTGAATAGATATTAAAAAGATGACATGATTTACATCCACACAATGTCCAGTCTTGGTTGAAAAGTGAAAGTTGAAAAGTCAAACTGTTCAGATTTTGAATACTGGGTTTGCAACCTCTTTTCAAAATCTGTTATACCCTCTTTCCCACTGACTGTAAAACCTGTTTAATCCGGCAACAATCAGCTTTTAGTGGCAGTGGGAACAGCTCATTGATGCGTTTCTACCGGGGTCAAACAAATCGACAAGCGACCCACGTTATAATCGCCTCCGCTCTGATAGGCATGCTGTGGAAACACCAGCATATTGACCAGCTAATTAATGTCATGCCATTGAATGCAACATACAGACGTCAACACCGTGCCAGTCGCTTCTGATCTAGCAAGCAGAAACAACTTTATTTACATTCGAGTAATATGGAGCAGCTCTGGTTAGAGCGATTCAGACAGATAATAGAGTGAAACAATAAAGCACACTGACCACGCCCTGGCTTCCTTCCATGTTGCTCTCCATTGTTTACTTTCCTGATTTCTGTCTCACTGGTGACATCATCAGTGCTAACTCAGCATGATGGTTTCATCAGACACAGTGAGGGGGGACAGAGACCACGCAGCTGCCAGTAAGGGGATTAAACCAGCTTTTTTTGGCAGTGGGAAGGGAGCCAAATGCCAATGGTTTGTGGGTCGACCCTGTTTGGAAAACACGAGTTAACGCACCATTTTCATTGGGAAAGAGGCTTTATTGGACTAAAGTGGGACAAAATCATACCAACCAAACACAGCCCAGTTTTCAACAACTATTTCTGGACTAAATCAAGGCTATGCTGGACCAACCAGTGTTACCCCGGGTTCTGAAATGATTCAAATTTAATTAAAGTGTTGCAGGAGATACTTTGCCCTTTGGGATGGTTATTTGAAAAGATGCACAAGTTGACAGAATGTGTGTTTTCATTTTGTTTGCAGATCTTGGGCTGGAGCATCATTATCATCGCTGTTATTCTAGGTCTCTTGGGTACCTGCTGCAAAAACTGTCGCTCCAAGGTCAGCTACCTGCAGCTTACATTCTGGAAGCGTTATGTTGAGAAGGAGAAGGAACGCTTTGATGCCTTCACTGTGGACTATGCTACTAAACTGGCTGAAAGAAACTTGCAGAGCTTTTTTGAGAACAAGGAACCTAATGTCATGCCCTTCCCTAATCACAAGGCATGGGAGGAGATCTCTGAATACTACACATTTTCCAAGAGTGAACAGTATTACAGTACTCTTCACCGCTATGTGGAGAAAACAGACAGGGATTACGAACCAGAAAAAAGACCTGTCCTTGAGGTGGAGGATGGGATAGAGATGACTTAACCAGAACTCCACTGGAAAGGAAAGCAAGGAAAACACATTTACAAATAATGTTATTGAAGACACACATACGCTTTACTGATGATGATGATGATTATAAACTTTTTAAAGCAAGTCACAGTAGACATCAAATTAAATGTTGATACTACTGGCTTTTCTTGACAATCTAACCTGCCAGAGCTGAAATAATTTTTTTAAACTAAATATTAGGTTTCCACCTTATTAACCATCCCTCTGTCCGTCCCTCCATCCATCCATCTTCTCCCACTTACTCCTTCAGGGTGGTGGTGGGGCAGATGCCAGCAGTCTCTGGGCGAGAGGCGGGGTCCACCCCGGACAGGTAGCTAGTCTGTCGCAGGGAAACAGAAAGACGCACAATGACGTACTACCGTGCACACAAACTCACACCTAAGGAACTTTATTATCTTTAGCCTCTATAAGGTTTTTTTTTCTGCTCGAAAACGACACTAAATTCGAGTGGGTAAAACTGAGCAAATAGTGCAATAAAGGAAATAAAGTTTAGATTATATGTTTAATTTTTTATTGTGTATTTTAAAGTAAGGAGGAAAATGCATAAACATAAAACTTAATTATATTCAATAGTTTACTCAGCCAGCATGAAAATATTTATAAAAAAAAAAATATACTCTTTTTTATGATATGATAAAAGGGAGAACCATCTCTGCTCTCCTCTACACATCGTACTTTAAAATGGTACCATCTGGATACATAAGTAACTTAAAAACTACTTAACATTTTAAAGGTGAAATACATCTGAGCATTGTCCGAATGTTTAATAGATGTTTACACTGCACTTATTAGATGTTAGGTTTATAAGTAAATGCCTACAATTAATTTATTAGAAAATTCTAAATGCAGTCCAGCTTGAAGCAAAATTCAGTGGCATTCAAAAATAAAACTGCTATGAAATCAATATTTCTTTAACCATATTCCTGTGTTCACCTAACCTATTTGTCTGACCTGTTTTTATTTTATTTTTTTGTGGTAAGGTCACCCAAAGGCTGCTCAGGTGCTAAAGTCATATAGAGATGGTCATCTACCAGGTCGCATCTGTTTTATGTGGAAAACAATACCTAAAAGTTTGCATCTGATGTATGATTATTTAATTACAAGTAAAACATGTGAAACCGATTTTTAAACAGTCTTTTAAGAAGCTTTAAATCCTATGATAGCATGGATCATAGGAATGAAGAAACCAAATGACTAATATCATTCAGCTAAACTGTAACTGTAGTAAATGTAAAGAGGGTTTACATTTTTTCCTCCAACCCACTGCAAAGTAGAGAAATTCACTTCAATTCAGTCCATTTCAGTTTATATATTTAGCGCCAATTCACAACACATTGCATCTCAACGCACAGATTGGTTAAAAGTTTCTATCTATGAAAACCAGATGATTGCATCCAGTCATTGGATTAACATGCTGTAATGATTTTTGTTTGCATTTTGTCATTGGCTCTTCAGCAGTCCCTCACACTGATCATGCTTGTAGCGACAGTGAGGAGGAAAACTCCCATTTACACAGGAAGAGACCTGCAGCAGAACCAGGCTCAGTGTGAGCCGTCTGAAGGGGTTCAAGGAAATCAAAGCAGACATACAGAAAGAAGGAGAAATACAACATTTTACTGTTAAGTAACTCCACAAGCAGCCCTGTCTAGAAAAGAGAAAGCCAGGCAGAAAAATTCCGAGCCAGCCAATGTCCTCTGAGATTCCCATGTCAGAGGGAAGAAGAGAGCACATACAGTTAGTCACAGTAATAGAAACGACACTGAAAAACAGGCCAAGCTCCAACATCTATAATCTAAGGTGTTGATGGCAAAAGAACAGCTGATATTTCTCTCCAGGATGGAGTCACGGCCAAACAAGAACAAACCAGATGAAGCTACTATAAAAAGCAGGGAGAGCATAAAGTTAAAGATTAAACTAACAAACACTGCAGGATGAAAGAATAGAGATAGAATGAAGCACAGTGTGAAAAAGTGGTTCCTGTGTCCTCCAGCAGTCTAAACATATAGCAGCATAGATATAGAAAATATCTCAGAATAACAATTTTGGATGAGGTATAATAAAGGTAGAACCAAGGACTCCTAAATTCCTAAAAGTGGCTTCATGAAAACATTTCATTACCTAGTTACTTCAAATGAACTTAGTGTGGCAGGTTTATTTTTTAACACGGTCTTTGACAGACGTAGGACGTCTATCTTTAAGAACAATACGTGTCAATGTTGTTATTTTTTCAAAAGTATTAATTTTTTCAGGTTCAATACAAATCATAAGCCCCACTTACAGTACCCTTTTGAAACTGTGCTAAGATCAGTCAAGCACAGTAACCGAGATGACTGTTGAATGTAAATTGCAAGTAAAACTGAACCGGACCATGCCAGACATAACCGACTGCGCTAAACTGGTACTAGTTCATCAGTAGGGCTCAGTTCGGTTCATTTCTTTCACGGTTCTCAGATAACAATGAGTGCATGAGCAGACCGCATCATCTCGTTACAGTCATCCTCTGTAATCATGAATTTTTAGACATTCATAAAACTACTAACTTCCCTATTGTGCCACACGATTTCTAGTGATGATTCTGCTTAGCAGTTTGATGAACCTTAGCAGTGTGATGATGAACCTTAGCAGTGTGATCAACCTCAACTTCTGTCGTTGTTTCCTGTGTCTGTAAGCCCTGATTAGGATATTGTTTGTCGTGTCCTCTTCCCAAAAGCCGACTCTATCAAATAAATTCACCTAAGGCTGCCTTCTTTGCAAACAATGAAATATCACAATTATAACCAAACTTCCTGAATGTTACGGGCGCTGCCATGTTTGTTTACTTGTTTCCCTAAAGAGAGCAGTAAACCATAGAGCGTGACGAGGAGGCGAGGAACTATGCTATTGCGGTGTGTAACAGAAAGGAACCGTGCTCCGCACAGTTTACTGATCCAAGCTCGGTCGGAATTCGGCACGGATCCGTTTTCAGAGTGTACGGTAATGTAAATGGGGCTATAATGAAAGCGCTCTAGTAAGCCTGCAATTACTATTGGTAATCCTTATATTGTTTACAACTTTTAATTCTTCTTTTCATCTCTGTTTATTGAGTTCTCAATTAGTTTCCAACCTAAAGGACCGCCTAGCTCGTAACAATAAGCAACAATGAGTACAATTTTTTTTTATCTGCATGTAAATAGGTTGTTCTTTGCAACTTTTGCTTTTTCCTGTTTTGGCCTCCAGTTCAGACATTTGTGAGCAACTTCATAGAAACTTCACATTTTAGCAATAAACAGCTGTGAGGCAACAAGAAGTATAACTACTTACAATATTAATGTTATTACTTTCTAACACTAAATACAGTTGTGGTAGAACGTTTACATACCCCTTCATCAAAGACTGAAAAAGTCAGTTACGAGTATACAATATGGAAATCTTATTTTATATATATATATATATATATATATATATATATATATATATATATATATATA